ATCTATCTATCTACCTAGATGTCATTAAGTTACAAAAAAAGAGTAAGTAATGCAGAGGTAACGGACCATCTAAAGCTGTTGAGGGAGTGATTGTGAATTAGACATATTTCTATTCTCTTTGTATTTCTACTTCAATGGAATATTGTGGAATCGCATTAATGGCCGCAAAATCAACAAGTTTATTCGTCTGTTGTGTTCTTCCGCATTCCCAGCCGGCCCAAAGCGTCGCACTTCTCTGAACCAATGATCTGTAATAGCGTCACACTTCTCTGCTCCGTTGCGTATCTTGAAACACGCCCCCTTTCACGTCCTGGAAAAACAAAACACAAGACAGCCGCGGCGCGCAGATGAAAGCCGACTCCCTCGCGTCGTCACCTGTGTCGCGGGAAAAAAAGCTCCATTTGAACACAGAGAGAACTACAGCCAACTGTTAGCTTATAGGTAGATGCTGTGAAATCTATGTGTGAAATGCTTCAAATTAACAGATTATACATTTGCCGCGAAGAGTAGCTGTACAGCAGGTTCTGAACATGGTTCTGAAAGTCCCCGTGAACCGGAAGTTGCAAACGATTTTTCTCCAGTGCTGTGACGTATTTCCAAGTGAAACGGAATATTGAACAGAGGGCAGGGTTTTACTCTAGCGCTCCACCTCTCCATCTCTCGCTCATAGCAAACTAACGGTTTGAGGGGAGTGGTTAAGCGTTTCCCCACCCAAGTTGTGAAACCTACGTCATCAGAAAAAGAAACCGTTCCAGACCGGAAGTAACTTTTCAGATTTTGATTAAAGATTACCAAGGTAAAACATTTTTTAAATATATTTTTACTTGCACGGATTAATTGTTCACCACAAGACTAGTAATATGCGCTAACAAAGTAAATAGGTTCAATTTTGATTTCACGGGGACTTGAAGGCGAAAGTTAGCTCCCCGACTAGTGTTGTGTTATTTAAAATAAATGTTTAAATAGCTTTGTAATGTGTTATATTTTTATGCTATAAGTGGTGTTAAAAATATTCTGCACATTAATGAGCCAATTTGTTATGATGTGGGATGTGGTGGTACGGTAGCCGTGAAAGCTCAATGCGTTGCAACTGAATGAAAACGCATGTAAATAGAATAAAGACCTGCAAATTAAGAAAACATCTCCATCAGTTTCACAACACACATATTCACAACACCACCCAAATACAGAAACGCGCAATTAACACAGACCACAATGGAAATCTTTCCAGGGGAACCAAATAAGTGACTAACCCTTACAGCTTAAAATTCTACTTTATGTATTTATTTATTTTTGCAAAACGTAGAGAGATTACATTTTTTTTTACATACAACTTGTATACAATATTCAAAATGTATTATTAATATGTTCAATGTCATCAGAAAACAAATTAGAAAAGAACAATGAGCTGAAAACTTAACTAAATAAATAAAGATAGAGAAGAACATGACGGAAAGATATTTATCTTTAATCCGTTACACTGTAAAAATTGTTTCATGTTATGTTTAAATTTTTCATAAAGAAAAGTTTCATAAGAAATATTAGGTAATGTAGGGTCCGGCACTTAGGCCTATTTGGTTTACCTGGAAACATTTCCGTTGTGGTCTGTGTTATTTGCAGCGCGTTTCTGTATTTGGTTGTGTTGTTTACTTTTGCAGTGCATTTCTGTATTTGGAGCACACATGTGTTGTGAAACTGATGACGATGTTTTTTTAATTTGCAGGTGTTTTTTTTCTATTTGCAAGTATTTGCTTCAGTTGCAGCACGTTGAGCTTTCTCAGCCACTGTACGGTGAGCTGCTGTGGGCCAGAAAGTCCAGGGCCACTTTTTGGTCCCAGTCCGCCCCTGATTGCTACGTTATGGGAGCAGTCTATTTCCCCCCTAAATCATTAATTTGTACATGCAAAGCTCTGGTCTTTCCTTTAGCTGAAAAAAATCGTCATTTCCTTTAAATGGTCATGAAACCCCCCTCTTTCAGCACAAGTCTAGCTCAAAATCTTTTTGAAAAATGCAACTTAAATGGGCGTGGCTAGATGTGAGACGAAGGGAGGGAGTGTGTGGTATGGCCATCACGTCAATGTCCCATGTATATCGACTGTCACTAAAAAGCAATGGTAAAACGTGAGGAAATGCTAGATTTTTATGTATAGCTGGCAAAGTTAAAGTCTTATGAAATACACTGACACTTTATTATTGTCCTTTCAAAAGTAACTGAATGTCCTGCTACAGATCATCTTTAGATGTGTCCGTGGTTGATGGCAAACCAACCGTCCAGAGCCAGAGTGTAGCTCTGGCAGCATCGCGGGGAACAACGCACTTGGACTTTGCACCATGAAAACAAACACTTGCGTCCCATGATTGCCTCTCTCTACTCCGCGATATCATATCACAGTTTGACATGTCTGTTGTGGTGTCATGAACAATTAAGAGTTTGTGTCTACTCATTGGATAAGAAAACTCAGTCTCATTATATAATTATGAGACACCGATGATTCATCAACGCACTGTGCAGTGCATGCCCACGTCACCCGCTACGATGAAGATTTTAAACCCGGAAGACGAAAAAAGCGGAAAAAAACTAAAATTTAACCATTTTAACCTTATTATTAAATCTAACAGATGCTAACATTGTCTTCAATGGTGTTCAACACACATACCTCTGTTATAATCTCAGAAAATTTGGTTTGGGGTTTCATGACCCTTTAAAGAAGAAGAAGAATTCACATATAATTTGTTGTTCTCTTGGCTTTACATCTTTCATTTTGGTAATTATTTAATTGTAGTTGACAGACACATGTTACAGTGAGAAGAATTCATTGAATAATAAAGGTTAGATTTCTCGTCTGCGCTGCTGGCCAATGGAGGTTGACATCTGCACACCTGGCGGCCATCTTGTCACAAGCAGCTCGCTCACTCGTAACAATAGGCTTGTTTGAGATGAGCAAAATCTGCACAGAACCGATCACCGGTGATCAGCGCGAGATGCATGCCGGTTGAAAATGCGTCCGAGAGCGGTCCGCCATGCTCTGATATCATGCCGACGTATGTCAAAAAACTCTCCCGAGCGCAAGGCGCACCTGTCGGATCCTGCAGTCGAGCGCAGTTGCTCTCCACCGACTGCGCTGATCAAAAGCACGATGGAAAACGACTTGCTGACGACACAGCGTAATGCTCATTGGCTTAAACAACCATGATGTCTTGTTCTCTTTTAAAATGTTTGATTTTAAAACTGATATCATGTGTATACATATGGGCAGAGGTGGACAAAGCTTTATTACTTGAGCAAAAGTACAGATACCCCTTGATAATTTTTACTCAAGTACTACAGTTAGATGTCAACTTGAGTAAAAGTACTGAAGTACATGTTTTTAAAAGTACTTGAGTATCAAGAGTACATTTTCTAAATCTTGCATTACTACTGTCACAGTGCTTACGTTTATGTACAGAAACGTCCTACATGGAGTTATGAAAAATGTTAATGTTAATACATTGGAGAATAAAAGGAACTGAAAGTAAAATCAAGCCATTTTCATCTTTTTACCATGTTGCTTTACTTAACATTTTAGAAAATGTCAGAAAATTGAGCCATCTGACCATGGAGTTGACTTCGGCGGAAAGCTGAAGGTGATTGCTGATAGGCTGTCCCAATCAGTGGCGCCTGCACAATCCAATCACATTTGAGAGGGAAACAACAAATTGAGGGTTTCCGAGATTTTTATTTTTTCCATTTTTTTTTTTTTTTTAGAAGTAATAACAGGTACTCATGGTCCTGGATATGGATAGAAATGTAGTGGAGTAAAGAGTACAATATTTCCCTCTCAAATGTACTTGAGTAAAGTCATGAATACCCCCCAAAAATGATACTCGAGTAAAGTACAGATGCCTCAAAATTGTACTTAAGTGCTGTACTCAAGTAAATGGACTCCGTTACTGTCCGCCTCTGCATATGGGTGAATAAACTCTCTGACAGTGCCATATGGGTTATTATGTGATGTCATTTTTATTACAATAATATATAAAAAAAGTATGTATTAAAGAAAAAATTATTGATGAACACATATTTGGAATGTAAGTAAATAAGTACTTTGGGTGTCTTGTTCATTATATTTATTTTCATATAAAAGCAACAGAACTAAATCACGTCCAGTTTATTAGGAACACGTGCACGAGCGTGAATCCTGTGAATCCTGCGATATCAGACTTTGATCTTACAGGTGTCTGATCCACTGCGAGAACCGAGATCTTTCTGGCTTGCCTGCGCTTTCTTCACTCCTCCTCTCACTGCAGCTGCCTACTCTCGCATACATTTCAGGCGAGGCAAGGCACATTGCCTCAAAACTGGCCACACTTTCTGCACGTATTTGCTTTTACAGTACGATTGACCGTTTGGTTGGAGTGGCTGTGTCATTTGCAGGGGGAAATTGTTCCAGGGTTAATGGTTGAAAATGGGGCTGGGCAGGGCAACAGTACCGTCTGAGACACAACAGGGGCAGGGGGTGTGTCAGGAACCAATGGGTGGGGTGCTGTCGGCCTGGGATAAATTGTCCTAAGCTTGCTGAACGCTGAGGGTATAAGGCTGATGGCTCAAATGATGCTGTGGCAGATGTAGAGGCAGCTGAGGGCTGTAAGTAGCCTGTCTTGATGACGAGCTGCATACATCACCCTGTCTTTGTCTAACACAGTCTCATCCCAAAAAGTCATATAACTGACGTTTTGGGACGTATTTTGACCATACGTCAATATCAGCCTTTTTAGGGCCCCCTTAAACGTCGGTAGATGGCGATCCCGGGCCGTCATACAACTGACGCTTTACCTTTAACGTCAGTTAGGTGACGGGTTAGGTTTAGGGTTAGGTTTAGGTATGGGGTAGAGTTAGGATCCCATAACCTCATCTACCGACGTTTAAGGGGGCCCTAAAAAGGCGAATATTGACGTATGGTCAAAAGACGTCCCAAAACGTCAGTTATATGACGTCTTGGGGTGAGACCGGGTTGCTTTGTCAAACTGGTCCAGGTTCTGCCACAAACCCACAATTGTCGCAACTTTATTGGTTGGTAAGTGTGAGGCTTGCCTGTGTGCGCAGCTCCACCAGACACTCCACCAACTCATCCACCCGGTCCATTCCAGGAATGCAGTGCTCTTCAACAGGCTGAAAAAATATAACTGTTGGTTAGATAATTACATGCTGTTAAGTGAGTTTGTGGATTTGATGCTTAAGGGCGAATTGAGAAACAATTGGTATAGAAAAGGAAATTTTACCACTGCTGAGGGCACTGGAGCAGCTGAATGAGTCTGGAAGCAGGGCAGTGGTGCAGCTGATGGAGTCTGGAAGCAGGGCAGTGGTGCAGTGGAAGGAGTCTGGACACTGGGCAGTGGTGGAGCCTGGAAACAGGGCAGTGGTGCAGTGGAAGGACTCTAGACACTGGGCACTGGTGGGGCCTGGAAGCAGGGCAGTGGTGCAGCGGAAGGACTCTGGACACTGGGCACTGGTGGAGCCTGAAAACAGGGTAGTGGGGCAGCGGAAGGAGTCTGGACACTGGGCAGTGGTGCAGTGGAAGGAGTCTGGACACTGGGCACTGGTGAAGCCTGGAAACAGGGCAGTGGTGCAGTGGAAGGAGAATGGACACTGGGCAGTGGTGCAGCGGATGGGACTGGTGGACCTATAAGGAATGAGTCATCTAATCCCAGAAGATTTGTCACTGTGGCTTCCTCTCCCAACAAATCAAAGCAAGGGCGTAACTTTGGGTCTACCATTGGGGGGGTTCAAAAAATATTTATTAATTTATTTATTTATAGAATAATTTTCTTTTGTAAATGGCAACATGCTTATTTGCCGTTCCTGTATTAGAAATACATTGTGATACTTTTATTCCCCACTTCTGAGGTAGGAAAGGGTTCCGAGCCCCACCTGTCCCCAATCAACCCAACAAAATGTTAATAAACTAGGCTTTAAGTTTAACTGTTAAAATGTATTTTATTAACATCACATTGTAAAAACTTAACATCCAATAACAGCATTAAAAACTTTCAAATAGAGAAAAAAGAAAGTGCAATTATATTATCACTTTGCATGAAATACTACTCAAAAGTAGATAGAAAAATTGTGTTTGCATTTATATAGCCTCTAATAGCATAAAATTCAGAAAACTGATAAAATTGTGGACTAACGTTAGTTGTGCTATGATTCATTTTGGCACTTTGCAAACTCCATGCTAAAAGACCAAAAAATAAAATCATAATAATATCAAATTGAGCTGAAGGTGGCAAATTCCTAGTAATGTATAAGATACCTAAAATACGTTGCACATAGCCTACAGAAAAGGTGTTTTAACAACAAAACACATCCACTTGCACATATTTGACAATCGGAATATCAGATCCTAATATAGCTAGCAAATTGTGAAATTCTGAATAAAAAAATAAATAAAAGCAGATCATCAGTCTGTGTGGCTGCGGTGTGACAAGCAATGAAGGACGCGTCTCCATGGGAACCATAAAATGATACTACGATCAATAACAGTCGCCTTGAAAAACTTTTAAACTTACGTGTGAAAAGGTTAAGTAAGGCTTACATTTAAATGTGTCTTTGTTTTGTTTTGAGTGTATGGTCAATAAATAAAGGAATTAAAAAGATGGGCACCAGCGCCACACTTTGAGAAACAGCTAACTTAGCAATGGGGTACCTCCGTTTGGTCAGGATTTTTCCTTTTTTTTGGAGCCGACCAACAATTAAAAAATCGTTGTCTGGCTGCCTTTCAATGTCCTTTCCATCTTTCTATCCGTTAGCATGCAACGTCAGCTATTTCCTCTAACCATTCATCCCAGCGACTGCGTGCGCAACATAGTAAACTTGGTAGAGAAAGCGGGTTGGGTAATACCAAGTCGGTGCGGTGGGCAGAGGGTACATTAAAATATGATACTATCGTTCTTGTTGGCAAATGTATTTAATATTAATTCGGAATATTTTATATTTATTCTAATCTGAATGATGTGATGATTTGGGGGGGGGGGGGGGGGGGGTTATGGATTGCGGGCGATTGCAGGGGGCGATTGCGGGGGGGGGGGGGGGTTATGGATTGCGGTCATGGATTTCGGCCGATTCGGACGCCTATAGTTGGCGCTAGAGAGTCGAAACCCCACCACCCCCCCATCCCACGGACCCACTATTTGTCCAACTGTCCACTGTGTTGGTGGGAGTTTCACGGGATACTACCCCACCCACTCCCAGGCCACGCCCCCCGTCCCACGGACCCACTATCTGTCCAATCGCCCACTAAACCGGGCAAACGTCCCGCCTCCGGCCACTCCCCCGTCCCATGGACCCACTATTTGTCCAATAACCCACAATATTTACCAAAAGTGCTGTAAGCCCCCGCCCCCACTCCCGGGCCACGCCCCCATCCCGCGGAACCACTATTTGTCCAATAACCCACTATATTTCCCGAAAGTGCCGTAGGCCCCCCCACACGCTCCGGGTACTCTGGGGGCCGCCCGGCGGGGCCACCCACCCCCATCACGGGGCCCCGACCCGGCTCGCTTTTACGGTTACACCTCTGGGTCGAGGGGAGACTAAATCGTCGCGTCCGCCCGAGGGCCCGGCGCTTTGGGTATGTCGCTCGGGGAGGGCCCGAGAGTCGGCGTGCCGAATTTGGGGCCCCTGGAGCATTTCTGTAAAAATCCCACTCGCCCATTAAATGAATGTATTCGCCACAGCGGTTTCGTTGACGGCGCTTCGCAACGGCCTATCGACTAGGGGGCGCCGTTTTCCTTCTCGCCACGGCCCCCCGGCGCGGGCAGAAAAGTTTGGGGGCCCTCGGACCTCGTTCGGCAGTCGAAAGGCTCCAAAAAGGGACGCGCGTCCGCAAAACCACCTCAAAACAAGTGGTCCTTGGGACAGCCCCCGTACGGGGACGCAGGGTCGTGGCGTATTGAGATTTGAGAATCTGGCCCTCCAGGGGCCCCTGACGCGGGGCCCCGGAGCGCGGATCTCTATGGGGCCTTTAGAAAAATTTGACTTTACACTAGCGCCCCCTGCTTTTGGTATGTCGGTCAGGGAGGGCCAAGGGGTCGGGGTGCCGAATTTGGGGCCCCGGGGACATTTTGAAAGAAATCCCACTCGCCCACTGAATGAATGTATTTCGCCACAGCGGTTTCGTGGATGCCGTTTCGCGGAGGCCCGTCGACTAGGGGGCGCCATTTTCTGACTCGCCGCGCCCCCCGGCGCGGGCGGGAAAGTTTAGGGGCCCTCGGACCTCGTTCGGCGGTCGAAAGGCCCCAAAAAGGGGTTTTGCGTCCGCAAACCACTGCGAAACAAGTGGTCCTTGGGACGGCCCCCGTACGGGGACGAAGGGACGTGGTGTCTTGAGACCCTGACCCAGGGCCCCGAAGCGCGGATCTCTAGGAACTTTTGAAAAAATCGCCCCTCCCCCGCTAAAAGACTGAAATGGCATTTTCAGTCTTAGAGTGAAAAAGCCATGAGAGAGGATTTTTTCACAGAGGCCGGGAAAAGTTTGCCTCTGCTCTAGCGCCCCCAGCTTTCGGTTTGTCAGTCAGGGGGGGCCGAGGTGCCAGCACGCCAAATTTCGGGCCCCTGGGACGTTTCTAAAAATATCCCGCTCGCCCATTAAATGAATGTATTTTGCCAAACGGCCTTCGTGGACGCTGCTTCGACTGGGCCGATCGACTGGGGCGCGACGTTTTCTGACTCGCCACAGGCCCCCGATGCGGGCGGAAAAGTTTGGGGGCCCTCGGACCTCGTTCAGAGGTCGAAAGGTTGAAAAAGGGTGAAAAATGCACATTTTGAAAATGACAAAGGTCAAAAAGGTCAAACCGACGAAACGAGCCGCCACACAGAGATGGAGCGTCGCAGCACCCCGAAACTCGGTGGGCTCCGTCGTCTAGGGACCTTGAGTGGGGCCCCCGAGTTTGAGGGCCCTGGCTGGTTTCTAAGCATTTCGTAGGCCCCCGTTTGCAATGAGCCATTCATTGTGGATGGTGACTGAAAAGTGCCCCTTGTACGCAGACGGAGGGTCGTGGCACCTCGAAACTTCATATTCCAACTCTCCGGGGGCCCCTGACTCGGGGCCTCGAATTTCGGAACTCTAGGACCTCTGCAAAAAAACGCCCCTCCCCCGTCATCAACTCATTTAAAGGCTTGACTGGCTCTTTCAGGGTAAGAGTGAAACAGCCTTGAGCGTGACATGTTGCTCAGGGGCCGTTTCTATGTTTAATTAGCATAAAAAAAGCGTCCGCGGAACCACATTTTGGCGGGAAAAAATAGGTTGGAAGTGGGATGCTGTCGCGTTTCCTCCTCCCCTCATTTGTGGCGGCGGTCCCCGTCGATTAAACCACCTCTACCGTACTAAGCACGCTCGGCCGAACACGTGGCGCAGTTTTCCCGAGTCGTTTAAGTGTTTGATTGCCAAGAAAACCAGTGTTCTCGAAGACGCGTTTTGGCAGGAAATTTTTTTTTAGCCAGTCTGTGGGAATATCTCGGTGAAAACTTTTTTATATGTGATATTCTGACTATCTGGGCCATTGTGATTGCAAAATCAAGCTTTTTTTGAAATTAGTCATGCAACAGGCTTTGTAATTAGGCCACACCTACAGTTTGGCTGTTTAAAAACAGCGGGTTCGTGGACGCTTTGGCGTTTGAGCTTTGTCTTTCGATTTTTTTTCGATGAAACAAGTTTATAAAGACTCGGAGGGATCCTTTGGTGCGGGCGGAAAAGTTTGGGGGCCCCAGGACCTCGTTCAGGGCCTGAGTTAGGGTTAGCGTGATGGTCGGGGTTAGAGGCTGGCGACGCCTTGCCTCTGCTCTAGCGCCCCCCTGCTTTCGGTATGTCGGTCGGGGAGGGCCAAGGGTTCAGCGTGCCGAATTTGGGGCCCCGGGAACATTTGGAAAAAAATCCCAATCGCCCATTAAATGAATGTATTTTGCCATAGTGGTTTCGTGGACGCCGCTTCGCAACGGCCTATCGACTAGGGGGCGCCGTTTTCCGACTCTCCACGGCCCCCGGCGCTGGCGGAAAAGTTCGGGGGCCCTCGGACCTCGTTTAGGGATCGAAAGGCCGAAAAAGGGACTCTTGTCCGCAAAATCACTATTTCTCCAATAACCCACGTCGCAAAGCCCGATCGACTAGGGGGCGCCGTTTTCCGACTCGCCACGGGCCCCCGGCGCGGGCGGAGAAGTTTGGGGGCCCTCGGTCCTCGTTCGGTGCTCGAAAGGCCGGAAAAGGGACACCCGTCCGCAAAACCGCTGCGAAACAAGTGGTCTGTGGGACGGCCCCCGTACGGGTTCGAAAGGTCGTGGCGCGTCAAGATTTGAGATCTGGGCCCCCCAGGGGCCCCCGACACACGGCCTCAAAGGGTGAAAACCCAGGACCCTCCTGTAGCGAGTTGGCCCTTTTAACCAACTTTCACTCAAAAGCCTCTTAGGGTACATGAGTAGAAGAGCCTTTATGAGGGTTAAAGGGGTCAAATGGGTTGCCTTTGCTCTAGCGCCCCCTGCTGTCAGTATGTCGCTCGGGTGGGGCCCAAGGGTCAGCGTGCAAAATTTGGGGCCCCTCGGACCTTTCTGTCAGAAT